ATTTTCTGTTCTAGAAGCCGGGCCCCCGGTGATGGGCGTGACAGAACCAAACCACGCAAGAAACAGGGACAGAATTGGGTTCCATTGTGCGGCAAACACGGAGCAGATGAGACGTTGCAGTCCATCTGGATGATCGATTTGTTAACGCGCTGTCGACTGGGAGAGTGTAGGGCGAAGCAAAGTCTAAAGCTTCAGCTCAGCTAGTCTTTTTGGTGCAATGTAGAGCCAAGATGCTCAGAGATGCATTTGGAGCATGCCGTTTTTGGCGACGGACGCACAGGGCGCTTATTCTTTGATGTGACTTGTGAGGGCGGATGTGAGGTGTGTTTAAACTGTGGCGGCGTGCAATAAGGCTGATTATCCGGTAGGTATTACTTGACAGCTGCAAGCAGCAAAACATGGGAATGGAGTGGATGACTGAGATGGTCCAGGTCCAGCTGAGATGTCTCGGAAAGTGCCGCAATTCGCCTTTCGTTGACCAAGCTCACTGGCGCTGTCGCTCAGGAGCCGTGGTTTATTTTAAAAAATTGCTGCGTCGCGATGGAATTTTGCTTTGAATGTGCGAGAGAAGATGCAATGCGGTGCGATGCAGCGCAGTGCATGACATGACATGGCATTGCAGCAGCTGAATCTAAGTTACAGCACACTCCATATTGTTGTCCACAACCGTCCCAAGCTAAGAGGGCGAATGAGGCAAGTGTGGCCACATGAGATGCATCTCAGGCAAGTACCTATGCCCATGAGCCAGTTCCTAGGGGCGGAAAGACGCGGGAAGTGACTGGCCGGGGAAATGGAAGGAAGGACCTTAGATGGTAAGTACAGATACGGGTACGTATACCTTCTCAATCGGTATTACTACCTTAACCCAGCTTCACAGGTACGGATATATACGACTGAGCCAACTGCTGCCAAACCTCAGGTACTGCCTTTGCCAGTAGCAGCTGCAGTTTCCTTCCGACCGTGAAAAAGAAAAGAGACAAGTGTACAAATTCCAGGAAAACATGTCATGGAGGCAAAAAAAAAAAAAAAAAAAAAAAAAAGACCGGCAGGTGCACAATACTGCAGCGCACCTTCGATCGGTCTGGGCCGCTAAAAACCATTGGATCGGGTCATTGCACGTTAAATTCACAATACCGTAACGCCGCAATGAGGCATATCCCAGTTCAAACCGACATCTGACTGGCTGGGGGCGGCGTGAGGAGGGGGAGAGAGAGAGAGAGAGAGAGAGAGAGAGAGAGAGAGAGAGAGAGAGAGAGTGTGTGTGTGTGTGTGTGAGAAGATGGGCAATGGCAACCTACCTTAAGTCAGCTTGTGCCGTATGCCGTAGCACAGTGGGAAGAAGAGGAGGCAACTTGTTGGAGAAGTGAGAGAAAAGGATGTTGTTGGAGAAAGTAGACTGCGAGGAGCTGTGTGAGTGAAGTCACTGAAGTGGTGTGTGAGCGTGCAGCGTGAGATGTGAGGCAAGGCGCAATGATCAAGAGCCGGCACTTTCCCTACCATCCGGATCTTACCTGAGAATTTGAAAGCACGCGCTACATATTGCAGGTCCCTGTCCAGCCTCGGTCTTCCTTGCTCAAGCTCGGCCCCTAAAGCAGGTGCAATGCGGAGATGAAGCCACCGTGCAAGGTTGGACGCTGTAATTTTGAATTCTTCACTGAGGGACTTGCGGATATTGAAGCCGACTTTGGCATATGTTGGCAGCTTCATGACTTAGGGCACTGGAATCATGGAATAGGAAAACATGGTTATTACATGGTAGACCACTGATTATTGAGGTAAGGCAGTGTACCTTGCTCTGGAGTCTGCTTGGTGCTAACTGGGGTTCCGCCACCCATCGCTCTTTTATTTTTGCTTCTCATTTTGTGGGATTCCACTCCTGTATCAAGATATAATAGTACCTAGTGTAGACGACAGAATTGAATGATTCAGGAAGGTCCAAGGGAAAATCGAGGTTCGTAAGACCATGTATGCATAGACACAGTTCCTTGGCCATTAGATTATCCAATGATCGACTCGTTGCAAACTTTGACCGATATATATTTGGCCATAGGAACGAACTCTGGTTGGACGAATGCATCAAGTCTCCAGTGTATCGTCGGATCTTGCGTTGCCGCGCATTCCTTGAATCCATGAACATGACTGCATACCGAGTTGTCACTGACTCTTGAGTCTCAACCCCAACTCCTTTTGACCCTCCTCGTACGCCTGAAGTAGAGTGTCGAATGCAGATGGAAATGTGTTCAGGTCCAGGATATGAGCAGGGCTTTGCTCCCAAGGTACTCCATTCGGATAGACCACGGGGCCATGTCATGTTTCTCTCCGACTACCAAATTGGCAGAATTGAGGCAGGCACGGCAGGAAAGACGAGGGGAAGGGGGGGGGGGGGGGTTCGACGAGCCGTGGGCCGCCTGCTTTCTGCTTCGAAGTAAGTGAGTACGGAGTAAGGTAGGCGGTACCTACGGAGTATTCCATCATCCATACGGAGTACTGCATAGTAAGGTACTCCGTACCTAAGCAGGTTGAGTCTTGACAAAAGGCCCCCGGCGCCGACGGCACCATGGGACCGAATCGTGGGAACTTGGAAGGTGGACCCGGCCCGTCCAGTTTTTGACTCCTGCTGTTTCGAGACTTGATCATCCAAGAGGGCCTGCTTGGGGCCTGCTTTTCCTGCCCTCTTTTGCAGCACATTAATTACATAATACTCTTTTAAACTCACCATCCCCACTCGGGCTACTCTCCACTTTCTTTTTTTCCTTCCGTTCCGCGGATGCCTTGTTCGTCTGCCATCTCTTCTGCGTCAGGTCTTTCAAGTTCTATGCCATCGTGCCTGTGCTGCGATACAACACGACGAACACAATTCCCACGTGACTCCCACGCTTTTCGTTTTTTTCACTTCTCGATATGGCTGGTCAGGCCACGCGATATGCAAAGCCTGGTCTGAACCAACCTGGATCAAAGTAAACGGTGCCCAGGTTATCGTTGTCGCATCTCAATTTAAGCCCCCTGTAACCTCGAGCTACCTATCTGGACACAACTGGAATCTGGATGATTCAACAAGACATCTACATACGGAAATGGGTACGACGTACTGCACAATGCAATGCCTACGCCCGCTGGCCATGATCAATTCGATGAATCTAGCCATCAGTACAAAGCAATCCGGACACTTCTCCATCTCCTGAGTCCCCAGCTGCTCCTCTTCCAAATATCCTCCTTACCGCGCACGACAGCGTTTGCTGCATATCGACTAATGCAGGCTCGACCTCCCGCCTTGAACGAGCCCTGTCAGATCAACCTTTGGCACGCCCACTTGGCTGCCTTTTTAGCTGCGCAAAGTACGTATTACGGAGCAAGAAACCACCCTCGCCTTCTGCCGCTCATCCTGGCATGGGACGATGTTGCTCTGCTTGCATGTTGGGATTGTTGATCAGCGCCCGCTTTCGATCCACAGCCGACGCCTCCATTGGCCTCAACCACTGGCATGGCCCTCCCTGCCCCGACTGTCCTGGGACGGAAGCCAGTCTCGATCGTCGACTCCTACGAAGTTTCCCTATATCCGGACTGCGTACACAGACAGTACTGCTCTCCCGCTTTTGGTCGAGATGCGCCAGCGCCAGACGCCCCCGAGCAAGTGGTCCGTTGGTGTATTCACTGCAAGCAATTGATATTCTCGATCTTGCACATCAGCCGTCGTCCCTGGGATCTCCTCTGTTCATTCGACATAGCCGTCATATCGCGTACGGATACGCAATACCTACCCAAGGATTCTGGCATAGACTGAAGGAGGTTAGACAATTCAACGAGCTTCTCGGGACCACAGGGGGGGAGGGGGGACCGCCCAGGCACTGGGATTACATGAACCAACAGGGCGGAGAAACTTTCAATCAGGTACTCTTTTGCCAGGGCCAGTCCTCTCCCCTGGCATCTTGCTAGCTTTGTGGTGCTTCAGCTGCGACGTTTTCCTTTTCTCAACCGTCAGACGGCTCAATACTGAATCGAGTCGCTCCCTCAGCTGCATCTTATTGTCAACGCCTGCCCCCTACGATCCCGCCGACTCCCGTTCTCCAAATCCAGCTTCTCCACTCAAGTGCGACATGTCACTGAGCACAGGCACCGGCAGCTACACGACAGCAACAGACGACGGCGGCAACGGCACCGACCTGAACTCATTTCTCGTCCCATCCTCAGGACCGCCGCCTTTTTAAGCATGGGCGCTAGCGGCATCAGGTTCCCAAAGCCAAGAAAGCTAGATTATGCTGCCGCTACCTACTGCTCTCACATCTCTGTCTGCCCTTGCGCCCTCCGCCACACCACCCCGGCCGCACCTCCCGACCCCATGTCTGTGCTCCCGCTCCAACGACACCCCCTTCACCATTTCAATGACATCGAAACCTGGGACCCAAGACCTGGAAGTGGGTGTGGAGTGTGGGTGTGGCTAGGGTTGATGAGGGGTGCTGGTCTCTCTGTCTTGCTCCTCTTCCTGATGCCTCCACTAAGCCCATGGCTCGACGCCCCGACAGCCTGGGAACACGCAAAGCATCCATGAGTGCCTGGCCAGTCAGTCCCCTTCTTCTGGTATTCCCCCGTGCCTCTGGCCGTTCGTCCCGCTGCAAATTGGGCGTGTTCCACGGGTCCTTGGCTCCTTTCTGCAAAGTCTGCTAGCAACGATAGCTCGGACTCGGCGGGGAACATCTTGCTGCGGATACTGCTCATATGGTTCGAAATTCGAATACGATCATTCCAAGTAATACACCCATTGTGACGGGTAGCTGTCAACAGGTCCACGGGAGCTTCCCATCATCAATCTCCGCCGTCTTAGACAGGACCAGGCCCACATTGTCTAAGAGTGACCTTTTAACACGAGCTCATAGGCCTAGAGTTGTGACTGGACGCCAGGGCTTGGACAAGTTCCGCGCTAGAGTGGCACAGAAGAACGCGCCCACGGTTTTCTTAAACTGCCAGACGAGCGCTGGCGCCGCTCAACGCATCTGCGCTACACGGCAAATTTGCGCGGACAGGCTTTTAAGGAACGCGGTTTCAAAGGATGGGCCTGGCGGCCGTGTAGGTGCAACTTGGGTCGTACTAAGCAACTAGTGAGGACGCCGCCGTTCACTCATCCATGTCGATTCCAGGGCGAGTATGCCCAGCTGTCACGGCTCTTCTCTCGCGGGATCCGAGATCAGAACATCAGATCAACAACAGGAACCTCCACATCATTTTCAGCTAGACTGCTGTTGATCAAACTTCAACAACCAGATGTTGACAGGGCTTCAATTATCTGCTTTTCCCGCCCAACCCCAGCAAGCTCATTCCCAGCTTTGCCCCCACCACCGACCTGGGCGCTTGCTTTGGCCCGTTACATCACCTTAGACACAAGACCCTTGTCTCATCATTCTGCCAGGGCTTATCTGTGCCTCTTCTTCCGCCGGGTTCTGACGTTCAGTCCAGTTCCTGATCCAGAGTCCTTTGTACTTTGTACGCTTGTGAGGAGGAAACCCATCTCTTCAGGCGGAGGGGTGAGTCGAACCTGTCTGCCGGTACCGCTGGGTCGGACGATCTTTACTCTTCTCCCTATGCTAAGACTTTGGGCAGACGGCCAGACCAATTCGAGCACAGCCCGGACATTCACAGCCGTTTGGGCTTAGGACGACCAGCCGTTGCCACGTTCATCAGTAGACACGGGTGGTGACGGGACTCCATATCACGCCTTGGATCGGCCTCTTGCCAGCGTCTGCCACGCCTCAGCCGCCCCAGCACTCACGCGCCATCCCGGAACCTTAATCAATCTAGGGCCGTCTTTCCAAACCGCTTCTCCCGAGGCTAGGGAACCACCAGCAAGACACAGAGCTCGCAAGGGTGGCTGCGCCAAAAACCCCTTCACCCCGCGCCAGCTTCTTTCATCACTTTTCAGCACAACCGTTCTCTATCCCAGTCCATTCCTGAGTATCCTATTACTGTTGTGGACTGTCCAACCGTCTAGACATTTCACATTTTCGGCAAGTCACGTATCCTAGGCCACCTCAGAGCTGCCCATCTGGTCGACTCTCGCTCCCTACTTGGCGCCACCCACCCGTACACCATCACACACCAGCGGGCTTTTTGACTTTGAAATCTACATTCCACGCCTGTTCTGGCTGTAACGCAGCTACAATACCCACATGTTTGGGCAGTTTCGTCTCACTTTTGGCCTTACCGCTGGCTTCGAGTCTTCAGATCTGACGTACTCATCTGCTTGAATATCTTCGGCAACCCTTTCACTCGATCTAATCCCCTTGTCGGGCCCAAGTGAGTGGAACGAGGCACATCGATACCTTACTCACCAAGCCGTTGCCGTGTATTTCGTTATACAATACGGCGTATTCTTCGTACTCGTCGATATTCAGGACCAATCTTCATGCCAGTTGGCGCTTCATCAGGCCCTTGAGTTCCAACTAGGCTTAGGCCAAACACAACGGCCCTCCACATTCTCAACAGCTTCCAAGTGCTTTTGAGCTCTGCCGGGATCGATTCAGACACGGAGGCCAGACAACACCACCTCACCATCTCTGTCTAGGTCTTGATTTCCCTTCCTAGCGTAGTAGCTTCCAGGAGCCCCCGCCATAACGCCAAACCTACCAGCAGATCAACAGAGCGCGAGCTGCGATACCCGCTCTCCAGTCAACCCAGTTACATTGTGGCCGTCCCAGTGCCCCACTACCGTCATCACCACCCGCAGTGAAGGCTATCGAAAGAACTGGTGTGGCTCTGGGTGACCGAGACCCTCTTCTGAGTGGAACAGTTCGCCCTTTCACTACTTCCCCCAAAACAAGGAGCGAATAATCTCCCTCCCAAGTCCGCTCACAACTACAACCACAGACCCCTCTCGACATATGCCGGGTCCGCCGTTTCTGTTCCCCTAGCCATTTTATGAAATACGTAGGTTGCCACGGACTCAAGCTACAGCTTTGAAGGAACAGTATCCATGCCCCGGATCAGATTCTACCAGCTCGCCATCTCAAGCTCTCGATTTGATCTACCTAGCCGGGCCACCGCGTCCCTCTATCCGGGCGGCTCCTCCTTCCACAGCTCTCCGTCTTTTTACCTCAAGGAATTCATTCCCTAACAACAACTTGGCTCACTCCATCCTTTGGCTTGCTTGGACATATTCCGCCTAGTCTAGCCACCCCACCATAGCTCGCATTGCCGTCACGATTAGCGACCCACGAACTCCAAGGGATACGGATTTGCGGTCCTTCTGAGTACAGGCAGAGCATGCCAGCTCCCCCAAGGTCATCGTAGCACACGATCCACAAAATCTCACCTTCTCAGTCCCTTGCCTTCCGCCTAAAAACCACGGTATCGGCCCCTTCTAGCCGCAAGTATGGGGGACTATTATCACCATTTTCTCACCTCCATGACGGGGGTGGCAGCTAGCCAAGCTACAAGCCCGCAGGACATACATCCACCCCAATTTCCAGGCGCCCAGATGTCTATGATGGGCGGTGCCATGCCTGGGCCATATCCCAACCTTGGATATTTCACAGGCTTCCCCGACCCCGTTGGGCTTACTACCCCCAAATCCTCGAGGAACCGAAGAAAGTCGTCTTCGGGTTTAGATCACGTCAAGCACCGACGAACACGATCCGGTTGCTACATGTGTAGGAGTAGAAGAGTAAAGGTATGTCTCCGCGTCCTCTTCAAGATTGTAGCCTTCTAACTCGATGTAGTGCGATGAAAGCCGGCCAGTCTGCGATAGTATGTTTGGCCGAAGAGGTATCTGTGATTCGTATCGTTAACGTAACCATAGGGTGTCGAAAAGGTAGCCGCGAATGTATCTATCCGGAACCACCAACAACCAAAGGATCTCCAGCACAAGGCTCCTCATCCAAAGATGGAGCTCCTACTCAACAGCAGGCCAGTCCGGATTCTTCCAACGATGCTGAAGATGGAGAGGACGAGACCGAACCCGGCGGTCTAGACACCATCCTTGACGAGGACGAAGGAGAGGAAGAGTCTTTCCAGAGACAGTTTTCTGGGCCGAGTAGAAGCAGCACAGCTTCGTCCTTCAACCTGCAACGTACGGGAGGTACACGGCACGGCTCCGAGACGCCATCACACGAGGGGACCAAGAGCGCCTCGCCTTCGACGTCTACCGCGAGCAGCCAAACAACTACCGCATATACGATGCCGGATCTTACGATATTATCCCTAGGTGGTCACGCCGACTGGTCCCATCTGCCCCCCGACCTCCGGCAGCATCTGGAATACTTCTGCGAAAACGTTACTCACTATCATTACTGTATGCTCACTGACGCACACGAATTCTTCCGTGTAATTCTGCCGAATTTCGCGTTGCAGAACGAGGCTCTGTTATACGCGGTTGTGGGCTTCGCAGCCTACCAACGTACGATACAAGATCCCAATGGCAAGATGGAAGAGTTTCTGAAATACTACAATAAGAGTGTTATCCTGCTGCTCAACTCCCTGAAGAGGAAGGAGAAGCACAATATTGCTATGCTATTGACCGTCCTTCAGCTTGCCACAATCGAGGTATGGCAGTCCCCGAATTTAGATGGAAAATAAAGATGTGGCTAATCCATGATACAGGAGTATCTGGGCGACTGGATCAACCTTATGGGGCATCAGAAGGCTGCTTTCGAGATGCTGACACATTTGTTCACGCCTGAGACAGCTACGCAGACTCCTCTTGGTAGAATGATTGTGTCTTGGTACGGACGCTTCGACATCTTCATCGCTATGATGGGCGGCTTTCCCACGATGCTAGCCCCCGAGTGGTTCATTACTTTTGTAGAATACTGCGATCAGCAAGCCGTCTCGGACGAAGCAGATAGCTTGCACTGGAAACTCGAAGCGGAATCAGGTCGCCTGCGGGTTATTTCGAGAGAAATGTCTACCCTCTTCGCCCGAGGTAGCCGAGGCCAGATAACACCGGAAGATTTCGCGACGGAGCACGAACGATTGCAAAACTCGCTCCAGGGCTGGAAAGACGGATGGGATCACGCACTTACGGACCCTGCTTACTACGTCACCGACTTCAGCCACGCGGGCCCTCTGGGGGAGGACGACATCGTCGACCCGTTTATCACAGGAGTCTTGTACGATTTCCCGATATTCTCGACAACGCTACTCACCAGCGAGTTCAACTCTACCATGATGATGCACAAGTGTCAGTCGTCGACGACGCAGCGGGAACACCTTTACGGCGAGCTTAGAGGTCATGCATACGCCATCTGCCAAATTTTTGAGGCTGTCGAGAGGTGGCCGTCGAGCCCCAGGGGCAGTTTAATCCTGATCCAGGCTTGCATTGCCCTTTCGGCTTTGTTCTTACCGCAGGACGCCAAACACCACAACTGGATCCGAAAGAAGTTTGCTTTGCTAGAGACTATGGGGTACGTGGACATGCTGGCTACAACCTTCTGCCTTTTACCTCGCACACGACAGGACAGGCACACTGACGTTTGACGAAACCCTACACAGATATATACACCCGATATCACTCCGCACCAAGATGGCTGAAATGTTCCACGAGCCCAGCTGCGTGCGCTGGTGGCTGCCCAACGACGAGGGCTACAGCCGTATCCTCCAGGACGTACGGACCTTTGCCGATGAACGCAACGCCAATGCCGCAACCGCCCAGGCGGAGAACCTTCGAGAAGTCAGACACATTTTTGCAAAGATGCAAATGACGGAGGAGAATGCAACCCAGGCTGCATAGATCTTGGAACCCAAAAGTTCTGGGGGGGAGGGGGAAAAGAGGGAAGGGAATCGAGAACATGGGAGGGAAAAGTTGAAGCGATAAAAACAAAAAAGGAGGCGGGAGGTCTTGATCGACTCGGCAAACATCATGGCTGAAAAGTTGGATGGCATACGATGCACATTATGGAAGATGGATTGGGAGGATCGGGGCTCGTTGGGAGCTCGTTGGAAGCGGACGTTACGGTGGAAACGACGGGGAAAACGTTCGAGCATGGACGGATCAAAACAAAGCGGCGGCATATTTTTTTTCTTCATTCCCCCTTCTATCTAGAGGGCTACATCTTTAAACCCATAGAGGCCATGCCATACCCAGGCAAAGGCCACACGCATTTTGGCGTTGGGTCTTTTTCTGTTCCATTTCTCCCTTTTCTTCCCCCCCGTCCGATTATTCGTTTGAGCAAAATTCCCCTCTGCACCCCTTGTAGGAGAATTCATGTATTATATCTTGTTTTCGTTTTCTTGGACATTTTTTTTCCCCGTTCTCTTTATCTCTTTCTTCATATCTTCATCACACATACTTCTTGCTTCCACGTTAGACATAGATTCTGTGTGAGACCTGTTTTTCCCTTCCTATTTATACACACAACCTCGTGAGACGTTTTGACAAAAGAAAATGACATCACGAGACTTCAAAGAGCAATCCTCCAAAAACGAAGAATAATATTATACACATACGTGGACCTCGTCTCATTACAATAATAGAAAAAAGAAGAAAAATGGTCTACCAGTATCCTGCCCAACTCAGAACCACCACCCCCCTGGGTTTGACGGATAGGCAACAAGTCTGTAACTTGAACATTCATCAATACGCAAAGTCATTAAAACCCCCTTTCCCCCTCTGTCATGCCTCCTTCTTACCCCCCTCGGCCTCCTCCGCCTTCTCCTCCTT